AAAAGAGCCATTGGTTTGTAAATTCCAGGTTAAAGGAGCCAGCTTTGCTTTGTTGCACTATTACAATAATAGCTATTTACTTGCTGCTTTGCTGGGCAGATAGAGTATTTTTAATGACCTTTGTGAAATGAGTTTGTTTGCCTTCAGCCTGCTTCCTAACAAAGGATGTTCTCCCACATCAAACTGAGCGTTGCTGCATTTGGTGTTAATTAGAGCTGTAAGGGGACTGGGGTTTATAAATTCACTTCAAAGACCCTATTTGTATACTTTTCATGATACCTAGCATAACATCCATGTTATGATTTGCATCTGTAAAAGCAGAACTCGCTGCAAATAAAACTCAGACTTTCCCATTACATTAGAAAAGAACTAGGAGACAACTAAGGTCACAGAAAGAATTCCACACAACACTTCATTTACCTTGTGTGTTGTGATTTGTTTCATCTAGAGAGGTAGAAATCCTTGCACGTGTAATGGGGCACTGTGCAAGCAGGTGTGATGGTGACAGTGATTGTTTACACCTAAACAGACCCTTCAATCAGTATAAACAGCTGCAGCAGATAAGCCGGAAGGTTTTTGGGGTAGGCTCTCTTAGAGGAGGGGGTTTAGGTGCACCTTGCTTAGGAGCAGGTAGAAAAGGATAGCAGTAGGTTATTTTCTATTTCAGGTTGTATTGCTGAAGGAGGAAGAATGACCCAGGGCCTCTAGAGGTTTGATGTGCAGCTATTTCAACACAAGAGCTTGCTTCTTCCTTTCCAGGAACTGCTTCAAACTTGTTATTTACTTTGGCTTTTTGTTAACTTGCTGTCTCCTGGAGCTGTAAAGTCTGATGCTGGAGCTACTTTAACTTCCCTGCTGCTGCAAAGCCCGACGTGCAAGCCAAAGGAGTCTCCTCTGCTACAGGCTGCTGTAGTCACATCACACCACAAGTGGGGATGAGCAGCTCTTCCAGCTCCTTGAGGAGCACAAGGTGGGTTTTCTAAGTGTCTCTGTGTGGCTGCTGGTTGTGCTCTGGCTGTTGGAAGTGGTACCTGCCACAACCTGAACCCCTCACTCTTAGGTTTTCTGTCATCCCCAGGGCCCATAGGGCTGATGTACCATAGTGTTAAGCTGAAACAAGTGAGAGGTGGAGGTTCCTATGGAGCGTACAAAACTTTTGGGGTGTGTGCTCAAGCTGCCTGTGTGGGATCTTCACAAAGCCCTGGGCTGTGGTCCCTCCTCTCAGTGTTTTGGAGGAGCAGGGATCAGGGGGCTTTGGGGTTGTTGGCAAAGCTCCTGGCATAGGAGCACAAAGGTATGGATGTGATTTGGGCTTCTAGATACTGTCAAGGGATAAAATGGGTCTACAGCAGTGAATCCTTTGTGTGAGTGTCGGTAGGCTCGGTAATGTACCAGGAACACTTCCAAATCCAAGGGGAGCTTCAGCTGAGCAGATGCTTTTGGGCGCTGTTGCAAAGCTAACACAGAGCTGGAACTCCCAGCTTTCCTTAGGTGGTTTGTGCGGCTGCTTTGGTTAATGCTGGGGAAACTGAGGCTCAAAGCAGAGAGTGATGACTTGCTTGAAGCTACAGAACGGTTGCATATGGAGTACAGGTCTCCCCAGATCCAGCCTTGCTGTTCCTAACTCTCCCCACCTAACTGCAGACTCTGCTGAGGGTGCTTTAGATGTTTACAGCCCCCAACCCTCCACTTCCACATCACCTCTGAATTCACTGCAGCGAGTTTCAGGTCTCCCAACGCTTCTGTGAAGTGGCTAAATACATCCAGCCAGCGGATCTCATGCCAAAAGCAAGTCACTAAATGCATTAAACTTTGTGTAATAAAACAAGGAACAGCCCCAATAAATCCTGGCTTTTTGCGCTTTCCAGACTGCCATAGCTCTCCCTGTTAACTTCGCCGCCCTACCAAGGGGTGCTGGAGCTGTGCAGCTCATGTGGAGGTAAGGGCTGCCATCCAGCGGCAGCAAGGCAGAAGACACTGTAGGGAATCCCCCGCATCCCCCCCGACAGCACCCCTGCGTGGTCTCTAGCATCCTAACCCGCCTCGGGAGTGGGTTGTCCTAATAGGAGAATGCGGTGACTTTATCCCTGCAGAGCTCGCTTGGGATGCGGTCACCCGGGAGAGCAAGGGCTTTAATGCTTCCCACGCTTAAGTGTGGCTAAAACGAGTTGCAAAGTGTGATTTGTCTCATTTACAGCCTCTCGTTGCTTGTCCACATCCTGCAGCAGGGAGAATGTGATTGTGCAGCAGTGAGTTTGTTCAAGTCCCAAGTTTCCCCTGCAGATGCTTCCACCACAGGAATGTCATTGTGGCCACAGGAGACATGGTGTGTGCTCTAGCAGCCGAGTAGAGAGGCCTTTAGCCTTCCTCACAGACATTATCTGTGTGATTTAGGGCAGGTGATGGAGGTTCCCCAGGCTGCAGTGAGAAGCTGTAGGCACACACTAACCACAGAGTTTAGGAGCCTCCTCAGCTTCCCCTGTCCCTGCTGCGGCAGGGGCTCTGCTCACATTCCTTGTGCTGTGGTTTCTCCTTGCTTGTGTGGGGAATAGGAATTGTGCCAGCACCATGCCAGCTCGAGGCGGGGGTGAACTGGGGGGGGGGGGGGCAAAATAAAAGGGAAGGGGAAATAAAGGCTCTTCCCAGCTGAATTTGCATGAGTCTAACCACATCGGTTTGCTGCTGGGGGAGAGGAAAGAGGATGTGACGCCTCAGCTGCTCTCACTTGTCAGGTCTTTGCATGCTGCTGACTTGTTTATGGGTGAGTAGCTGAGTTTACAAGGAAGTGGGTACATGCAGAAGTTATCCTTGCAGTTGTTGCTGGGAGCTAGTTAGCAGCAGTCCACCACATTCCATCCAACGCAAGTCAGTAGGAGGAGTGGCATTTAGGGGTCTCTTTTCACCAGTTACTACCAAAGGCGGTGTGGATGCAGCTAACTAGCACATGTCAGCTTAGTAAAAGCAGTGACTTTAATTCATGGCCCTTTCTCCAGCAGTCAGCAGGATGTCTTATTCATTTGCCAGCAGGAGGGCAAATCCATTTCAAAATGATTGAAATATTATGCACAGCTTGAATGAATGTTTAAAATAAATACAGTAGAAGAAACAGTTGTTTGTGAAATGAGAAGATAAATTAAGCTTAGTGCAGACACATTAATCCCAAACCCTAGCTGCTTGGCTGACACTTCCACAGCCTTAATCTAGCAGTAAGTACATGGTCTGACTTCTTCTCCTGAAAAAGAGACGGGACTTTCTCTTCAGTCCTCTGCTTTGTATTGGGTAGGCTCTTGGGCCTCCATATTCCATGTGGAAAGGGCTAATTGCTGCTGGGACAGTATGGACAGGCTGGATGGACAGACAAGGAGAACAGAACCCTAAGGCTTGAGATGTAGAAAAGGGCTTCGTTTGCCAGTATCGGGTCTGTGGCTCCCTCCAGCCACTTCTGCTCAGCAAGATTAAGTTTATTTTCATCCTCTCAACTGAACTTTCTTTTAATGGCAGCAGGGGTGACAGCCCCCAAAATAGACTTCCTATGGAGTCTGTCCTGAGTGGCACCGTGTGCCGCATGTCTCCCGATAACCCTTTCTCCCTGCCGTGGGCTTTTATCTCTGTGGTGACAAACAACCCTCTCTGGACAGAAAGAGGAAATTCCACTCATTGTTCTCCTGCTGCTGGGCTCTGACTACAGAGCTCTATCTCCTGCCTGGTGCAGGGCTGGCAGGCGTTTCCTGGAGTGACAGTCGGCAGGAGGCTGACGGGAGGGATGAGGGCTTTGTTCCGAGATTCCCAGTTAGGTACCGGTATGATCTTCCCAGCCATGGCCCTGTCAGCTTTGGATCTGACCCCCTCATATCTTCTCTGTTCATGCAATAGCCGGTTCCCCCTCTGTAATGCCAAAACATGTGTAAAAAACACAGTCACCCTTCCTCTACGGTAGGCAGCACAACAGCATTTGAGGCAGGTGCAACTGTCCTGATCGAGTGAGCAGCAGGTACTCATCCTTAGGGTGAGATCAACCATATTCTACTTGAGTTGTGGTAGCACTTAGGACTTCTAGACATGCACTTGTGCTGTAGTGACAGGACAAATGGTTAAAAAGCTGTGTCATGAAGAACTTGGGGGTTTGGGATTTTGAGGTGGCTTTCCAAAGGCAGTGCCTGAATGTGTTGTTTAGGGACCCTTTGAACTCTGGAGGTGTACACCAGCTCTCAGGCAGGCACTGGAGTAGGATTTGTTTGGTTTTTCCACTTAATACTAATATCCCAAACCAGCTTTTCTTAAAAAGAAAATGGGAATCCTTCCGGTCTCCTCACTGCACACCTGGGTTTGACCTTTTAAATGGATTTCCCATTGACTTGCTTTTCTGTACAGTGCAGGTTATCTTTCTGCTTCTATTAAGGGCATCTTGGTGTATCTTTTCTCCTGGCAGTAAGAGGTAACTTGAAATCCTTGCGTCCTGACAGTACTGCTTTCTAGGGAAATCACTCACAGGACAACTGTACAGGAAGCCTAGAAAGGAAACGTAGAGCAGCTTTGGAAGGACTGAGCAGCGTAGTAGCCTTTTGGTTCAGACAAGCCTGCGGCTCTTGAGACTTCATTTCACTTCACTGCTCCCTCCTAGATTTCTACAGATGGCCACTCGCCACTGCTTTGGTGTGCCATTCGGAGTGGAGGATGGCACAACTGCCCTTCCAAGGTACACTGATGGTTGGAAGGGCTCAAATGCTATGGTAGTTGGGACTGTAAAAGTATTTTCCAGTTGACAACGTTAGTTTGCAAGGTTGCAAGACCAGTACCCTTAAAACATGGGTCAGGATCTGTGAATTACCTTGAAGGTGTCAGCTGGTGGTTCAAGCATTCCATAGTTCCAGCCATAGTGCAGCCATTTCTAGTAACTCTCATGTGTGATGAGAACAGAACTCTGTGCTGACCTTTTCATCTGGAGGTGAAGGGTGTAACAGTGACACATGGAAGAGCGGAAAGACTGAGACTGTTGAGAGTTGGCTTTTAAAGTGCTTTAGTGACATAATTGTTCATACCATTGTTTTCTGTACAGTGTAAGTACTTTCTGTCCCATGTTACAGATGCCAAATCTGAGATACTTACTAAAGTGATTTGTTCTGAACCAACAGAAGTTGATAATACACTGGGACTGAGACCTGAAGGCTCTCTGTTCCCAGAGTTTGATTTCCATGCTCACACTATGTTCATCAGCAAAATAACTTTGTCTTGTCATCATTTGACCTGCTCAATTCTCCCCTTCTTATAAAACTGCTCGGTCCAGCAGCTTTTATAAAGGCACTTCCATTTTACCACAGCGTTGGAAGCAGATGAGCTGCATCACGTCACTGGGAAGGGTTCCCCCAAAACCTCTTCCTTTGGTCTGCCACTTGGACTCTCAGCAGAAGAACTAGTTGGAGGGGGGGGAAAAAGGCTGTGAGGAAGTGGAAGCTCACCAGGAAGTTACTGAAGCTTCTTGTTGCATTTGAAACTTTGATGTCAACAATCGTACCCCAAAATGTTCCCTGCTACTGAGCAGGACTTGTTTCCTGTAGGGATGCACATCTTGCTGTGGTGAGATGGATGGTTTGGAACTAAATGTGAAGGCACCATTGGTGGGAGGCTCCATTGCTGCGTTTTTGTTTTTACAGGACCTTTGTGCTTCAAAGGAAAAGATAATCTGTATTTGCAGTGTGGACACATCTAGAGCTGGGAATTTCCTCTCTCATTGAATTGCTTCCCTGCCAGATACGAAGCAGCATGTTCTTCACCTCCCCTTCTTTCTGGCTACAGATGTTTCCCAATTTCACAGTTATCCAGCTCCTGGGGAAGTGAAGGAAGAGTATCTGAAGTGACACAGGAATAAACTGCAAAATTCCTCGTCTCCCATAGCAGGTCTCTGCTTCTCCTTGTTTTTCACTTTCAGTTTCCATTTGGCTATTTTTCCCTGAAGGAATCTAGGGCTTTCACAGGAGAGAAGTCATAGTTTAGAGTTTTAGATGCAGCAGAATAGCCCAAGCTTCATCTTTCCTAGCTTCCCCAGCATGTACCATCCTATAATGCCCCATTTTGGTAGATGTACCAGCCTTCAAAAAAAGAAGGGATTGTTTCAAAGTGTTCAAAAGTGCTCAAATATTCCACAGCCAGAGAGTCTGCTTTCATAGAGTACTTTGGCAACCAGAAATATACATCTGCTGAGGTTTTGGCTCCTAAGTCTCATAGGTTGCTATAGCTTTGCCTTCTGTCTCCCCTTTCCATGTTCCTATTCCAACAGCTATGTCTTTAACATGTCCTAAAGTTTCTCTCCATCTTTTCAGGCTTTTTAACAGACTTGCCTGCCTCTGGGAACTTAAGTGAGTTAGGCATTCCAACATAGCAGCTTCATAAAATGTCCCATTGGTATAAAAATAGAAATTCTATGGAATACATAGTGTTCTGGTGATCACTGGTATTCTGTTACTCTTTGATTTGAAGCTTTTGAGAAGATCAATGCTGTTTTAGAGTAAAACCAAGTCTGTATTCTTTTCTGGTTTCCTAAGTTATTAATCCCCTCAAGACTGAATTCATTATGAGCGAAGATACTGTCCCATGAGTATCTGGAACTACATTTTAGTGTCACTTGTTTCACTAACTTCTGACAAGACAAACCCAGGATTGTCATAACCTTTCTTCTCTTTGGCTTTAGCTTCTTTCTCATTGTAGAGACAGAAGGCACAGTGGGGAGTCTCCACAGCCACTGTCTTGCTGAAATTCTGGAAGTCTACTCTGTATTTCCCTTCTTTGGTCTTGGACACAATGGGAGCAAAGCGGTAACCCCAGAGCACCTCCTCTGGGATGTAGGATGTCCTCACTTGACAGGTAGCGCTCGTGGCTTCAACAGTGCCATCTAAAAACACCACCAATTCAAAATCTTGCTGTAGAATGGTTTCTGCTGCCATATGGAAGAATGGGCTGTTTTTATCTATGATATGATAAATAGTTAATGGGGAAATGAAGAAGAGATTTTCGTTTCCAGCGTCAACTACAAATTCTATGTTGACCTGGTCCAAAATGATTGTTTCTCCTTCTGGGGTGATGGTGGTCTTGAGAAGCTTTCCATAGATGTGACTGCCAATCAGCAAGCTCTTCCTGAGGTTTGCCACCCGAATAAGGAGGCAGAGCTTCCCACCACGTTTGCTGATGACAGCATTCTTGCTGAAGGTGATGGTCTTAGCCCGGTTTTTAGACCTCGATATCTTGGCCAGGATGGCACCACACATAAAAGAATTGATGATCACCCCCAGGATGGACTGGAAGATGAGCAGGAAAATGGCAGTGGCACACTGCTCTGTGACACATCTGAAGCCATAACCAATGGTTACCTGGGTCTCCAAGGAGAACAGGAAAGCTGAAGTGAGGCCGTTGATATTGTCAACACAGGGGGTGTGATTTATGGCAGGGTTGAATTCTGGCAGGTCTTTGTGTATGTATGCCACGACATACCAGAGGAGACCAAACAGAAACCAGCTGCCTAAGAATGCTGAAATGAAGATAGTCATTTTGTATCTCCATCTGAGATCCAGGATAGTTGTCCATATATCAATCAAAAAGACAAACCTTGACTGTTCTACATTGCCAAACTCTATGTTACACCTTCCATCTTTAGAAACAAGCCTTGCTCTTCGCCGGCTCCGTTCTCTGATGTGGCTGGCAAAGCGTTTCCGGAGGTAGCTGAACATTCCCTCTGTTGGTAGTGTTCTGGAGAGTAAGAAACAATAAAGGTTATGGGTAATGCAGGTTTCATTTATACCTGCAGGCAAGAAGCAAAGACTGATGATATCCCAAGACACTTGTTTAGGAAAAAGCATTTGCATGTTTTCCCTCAGCTGGTGGGAAAAAGTTCCAGTAAGTAGATGAGGAAAATACCAGTTTCTTGCCTAAGGAGCATTCCAGCAAAAAGTTATCGTTTTCCCTTGCTCAGTCAACTGTTAATATTGTCCTCTGCTTAGGTGAGTAGGAGGAGAGGCACAGAGAAGCAGGTAACTGTCATGGACATACATTGGAAAACAGGTGGCTGGTTTTTGTGGAGGTCTTGCTGCCTTTTAGAAGATGATGTGAAGACTAAAGGATGAGATTCAGAAATCCATCCTTAAAGGAAAGGGTAGCTCTGTGTCATTTTGTCCTTTATGCTTGGCCATGTTAACGAGAGACCCAGGGAATAAGAGGCAGTGATGGAGAAAATACTACAGATGTGTTCAGACTCCAATTCGGATCAACCTCCACTGGGAAAATTCCCAGTCTTAGTGACTCAGACGTGCAGGCCTCGGGAGAGGCTGATCCACTGGCAGGTTAGAGGTTGCCTGATATGTTCATCTAGGGTTCAATTTGGACACCAGATTTCTGCTTAAAAAGAACTGACATGAACAACTTGAATGGAAAGTAGTCTCACTGCAGTCTCACACATAGGATATTCTGAGTTTACTGTGTCTAAGGGTAGAGTGTCTTCAGACATGCAGAGACCTGGTTGTTTTGGGGACCTGCATCTGCTATGGATGATCTTTTCTTTAGAAGGACCTGGACTTGAGTGCATCTCAGATAGGAGGTGCTGGAGGCTTTGTGATCGTTTGCTACTGTCACTTTACAGATGCATTTGCCCTTCCCAATAGACCGTGACACAGCCTTTTATTGGGAAACAGCTCTTAGGAATGATGTTTGCAGTCAAGCTACAGCTCTTACCTAAAACCCTGCATCATATCACTGTCCCATCCAGGCTTCCTTTTTGGCTAGAAGCAAAGTGCTCAGGCTCAAACAGTTGTCAAACGCGCTGCCCTAATTTTACTTGATTTCAGGGGTAGTAATGTGCTGGAATATCTGTGGCGAGAGTAGCTTAGCTCCCTTAAGCCCTAACTTTATATCTCCAGAATGGGGATAACCCACAGGCATGTAGTGGATTAGACATACTGGTGTGAGTTATGTAGTGTGAAATGTGTCTCATTTAACTTGAGCCACTTCAGTGTTAGATAACTGCCTGTGCCAGTTGTACAGCTGACTCCTGACTGACAGTAAAGGAGGCATTTGCACTCTCTGAGGGTCCGCTGCCCTTCGTAAAGCTCCCATGGGGATGAGAGCTGCTGCTTGGCAAAGTTATTTTACTCTGTAGGCATCTAAATTAATTCAGAGAAGCTGCCTGATATTGTAGCCAACTAAACTAGAAATCCTTCCATTAGACATCATTAACAGCAGCCAGAGAATACCTTTAGCTATGGCAGTCGGTAGCAAAGGGGGTGTATTAAATTATCAGTGATGAAGTCTAAGTACAAATTAATTACATTTGGCAAAGCCAGAAGTAAATTCTTTATTTGATGTCCTTGTTTGTGGCAGCAGCCTTGAGAATGACTTTGTCTCATACAGTTGCTGCTTTTCTGTACTTGGCCTGAAATCACAGTTCTCTGCTCATTAAAATGAGGATGAAAAAAAAACGAAGGTCACTCTTGTTGTAATGTAGCTGTTCACTGTTCTAAGCTTTTGCCGTTGCATTTACTGGCCGTGACTGTAGCTGGCAAAGGTTAAACTTTAAGCGCGTATCCCAGGAAGGGGGCAAAGAGGTCACTCTCTAAACAATCCTCAAGTTTTATTTTCCTGACGTGCTTTTAATATGTTCATGTTAATGCATAGTTTGAGCACCAGTTAAATAATCTCATGCAACACACTACGCAGGGAAGTTTTCCACTATTTAGCTTCTACCAGTCCTGTTGTGCAAAGCCATATGGCTCCGCAGCTGTCACAGGCATTTTGTCCTTTCCTGCAACAACATGAACACAGTCACGACCAGAATCCTGTCTGAAATGCTGGGATGCCTCACCCTGTCCATCAAACCCTGCATGGGCATACCAAGGATTGGGAGGTACAATTCAAAGATGATAATGACAGAAGAGAGCATGCTGGTCAGCATGGTTATCAGACTGGAACCTGGGAAGCAGAGCTCCAACTTTTACCCTTCTTTTCCTGCCTCCTTAAATCTTAACTGCACACTTCAGAGGCTGTTTTACAAGCCTGGCTTAAGCTACCCCCAAATAGATCAAAGAAGCAGAAGAATTACACCCTACTTCAAGCAGGATGACAAAGGAATTCTCCCTTCAACCAATCTTTCTTGCTCCCACACACAACTGAAGTGTGCTGATGTGCTTCAGCAGGAGGAAAATTCTCTTCTGTCTAAGCATGCTACGAGTAGATCAGAGACTGCCCAGAGATTATATAAAGCGAGTTGTATAATACAGCGCTTAAAGTCCTTTCAGTTTAAATCGGTGAAGATAACCCAGCTACATCTTAGCTAATATTTACCAGGGTATGTTTCCTTTTGGGCCCAAATAAGCATGGTATTTATGTCTGTCTTGCATGTGAAATTCTGTGTTGCAGGAGTTGAAGCTGCTGCTGTCTGCAGGCATTGCATGTTTATAAAGCTGTACTACTCATTCTTAAATGAATGGGGCATTTGCCAATAAAGCTACTCAATGAGTAAAGGTGACATGTCAAGGTTAGCTTGGAAAACAAGGAGTTTCTGTTTCCCTGTTGCAGCCTTGTAACTCACAGTGATCACCGGAGTAAGCAGAAGCTTCTTAGATTGCTGTTCTCAAACTCCTGATCTTTCCGAACTGACCTACCAGTATATTTGATAGATGCCTATAAAGTCACTCGTTGGAGATGCATTTCTACCAGTTCCTTTCTCTGTGTTCCTGCAAGTAGGTAATGACAGTCACAACTGTTCTTGATGGCTATGTAGCAGCTGGAGTTCCTCTACTAGCTCAGAGATGTAACTGAGTGATTCTCTTTGCTTTTACTTGCTTTCAGTTGTTTTGGGTTGAAACACTGGGGAGAAATGACCAGGCTCTTGAATGGCTGGACTCAGTCTTAAAGGTCCTTTCCAACCTAAATGGTTCTATGGTTCTTTAATTGTTCTTTGGCTAAACCCTTTGTGCAGCGCTGTGTGCAGAGCACGTTAATCCAGGGAAATAGCTTTAATCTCAGCCACGTGCAGCACTTAAGGAGATCAGTGACTGAAGGAAAGGGAAGGTATTTAATGTCTGGCAGGAGCCTGCCCAGAACAAAGTTCTCCTGCTATTTCTCTGAAGTTCTCATATCCATGGCTTCACACACATTTCTTCCCTTGCAGCAATGGATGGAGGAACAAAGTTGGCAGAACTGAGACAGCAGAAATGAAAAGCAGCCCACTGAACCCAGCTTTTGTTAGAAATCCATCTTTGTTCAGGATTCAGAGGAAGTTCTAAGAAGCTTAGGGAGAAGAAAGGGGGATACAGAGCTAAAGGATTATTTTTTTTTTTTTTTCAGTCCTGTTCAGGTCTTTTCAGAACTCTGATGATCTTTCTGTGTTTTTCTTTCTGTTGAACTTTCTCTGAACAAAGAATGTGAAAGATCCAACTCTTAATATCTTATAAACCCCTTTTTTATTAGAAAAGCAAACAGTAACGCTTGGTCTCATGGTGTATTATCTGCTGGGTGCTTTACTACTGAGCCCTTTGGAGAGTACAGCTCCTTTGTCCTTTACTAGCTGCAATGGCTTATGCCTCTTGTGATGGGATGACAGGTGTAGCATCCTATCTCCCTGTCTTGCTGCTTATATCAGAATCAAGGACTGTCAAAGCCCTCTCTTGAACCAGTTCAAAGTAGAGCAAAAATATAAGCTTGCCTAAAGCAGCCAGTCAGCCCTAGGGGCACGTCTAAAGAGAATCTGATTTACCCCATCCTCCGTGCCCACTTTATTCTTGATGGACACATCAGCAAAGGGACAGGTCCTGGCAAGCTGATGCAAGCAAGCTTTCTTCTTGGACTTGGCAGTGTTGTCATTATTTATTCCTGGTAGCAGATCTGAGCGCTGAATGCGGTTGAAATGCCAGTTCCATGTGGGGAATAGGATCCTGTGATCCAGCTCAACATGTTAATCTGGGAGCCTTGTCAGCTCCAGCCCAACTGACTACGATTTGCCAGCCTAAGCTCCAAATGGAATTTCGAGTGGATGCACCAAAGGATCTTAACCCTGGCCTTGCCATCTCTCCTGCTCTGCAGAATTAGTGGCAGATGCCTTTTCCCATGGCCATTTTCAGGAGGAAAGGTGAGGTGGTGCCTGCCTGCGTGTTGTGCATTAGGACATCACTTCCACTGTGAATATGGAGTCTCTTTAGAGCAGATGTCTTTCATCTCGGCTTACTGTAAGCGCACAGGTATGATCCAGCCAGCTTTCTGCGAGTACCTACTGAAGAAGTCCTCTTAAGTACCCAACCTTCCTCTTTAGATAGGGGGGAGGTTTCATCCTGCTGTCTTTTAACCCGAGTGACCCAGGATTGTCCCAGCCCACCCCAGCAGTGATATGGCAAAGATGTGCTATCCCCTCCCTTGATTCCCCCATGCCCTGACTGTTTAAGGGATGCTCTGACATGCATGGGATGTATAGACTCAATGGATCACTTCACAATGCTGTTCATACCTTGCCACCCTTTAGCAGGGGGGTTCTGACCCTCTGCTTTAAAACTGTATCTTCTCAGTGTGCTTTGTAGAGCTTGCTGCTGGATGTATTCTGCTGCTGAGCAGCTCTAGCATTACTTGGGTGCACCTTGGAGTCCTGCTTCCAATACCAAACATCCAGGAAGGTTCTCACAAAGCATGCATGTGGTATTTGGAAAGACAGGCTGCAGTTTCCCCTCGCCATGTTGGCTTGAACTAATTCATTCATGAGAACACAGGCA